ATTAGCATCACTTATATCATGATTATCTATACAATGTGACCATAATTCAGCTAAATACTTTTCAGCCTTCAAGAAATAATATTAAGAGATAAACATAAAAATAAATTACGTTTTATTCTGATTGGCTAAAACGTTCTAGAATTTCGATTGGCTAAAATGATCTTAGATTCTGATTGGTTAGCATCATTTACATTGAGTTAAGGCGGTATTTTTTAAAACAAAAAGTATTAAAGAATTCAATATGATTTAAAGGAAAATCACAAACGAAAAAAAGAAGCTTTTAGCCATGAAGGTTATTTTTATATAACATCAATGACATGTTTGTTGTTCAATGTTGAATTTTATTAATAATATTGAAATATATCAACTTGTTTATATGTTTTGCGGGGTTGTTGTGAAGATTGTTAAGTTTTATTTGTAACCGTGAATCGATCAATGTTAGACCACTATTAGAAACCTGGAAGCACTGGACGGCCGTTTCGTCCTGGTATAGGACTCATAAGCAGTGCGCATCCACGACTCCTGCTCCTCGCAGGATTCGAACCCAGGACCTTCGGTATTGTGCGCGAACGCCCTAACCGTTTATATGTGACTACTCACAAACATTATGCTACATCTTTGAATGTTAAATAACTAAAGAAATAATGATTACAAGTGTGATACTGAGTAAGTCAGTCAGTCAATCAGTCATTCATATGAGTTTGATTCCTGCGTATCGCATTGATTTCTTCAAGATTAAGGGTTAGCGAAATGTTTATTTAATGGTAGGTATCTAAGCAGAAACCTAGTTAGCCAGAAATTGAATTACAACCTCAGTTTTACAGAGAATTAATTTTTCAAATGACAATTGAAAATATTTTAGCGGGTGTGGAAAATCTGTATAACACACATGGATGATGATTGTGATGAAGTTTCATTCTGTCTGTGTTATATTCGTCACTAGGTACTCTTCTAAGCTATTCTGAGTTCACTTTAGTCGATAAACGCAAACGAGACAATTACCAGCGTCCAGATAGGCTACCTTGAATCCCAAGCTGTAAATAGAAGGCCTGGTAAGCGTAGAAAGTATATTCTAAAAACACTCAGAAATCACACAATACAATCAAGCACACAACTCTCGTTTATTTATACATCATAGAAACGTCCTTGGGACAGTCACAAAAATAGAACACTAAAATACACAGCAGCCAATCACAACCATGGATTTTCCTGATGGGAAATGAAATCTCAAGGTCAACTGATCAGCCCATGCCGGCAAACGTAGAATCCGAAATAAGGCATTTAACAAGCGAGTTTTGGGGATCTAACAGCCGCAACAGTCTGAGTGAAACGTGGAAGCGTTTGAAGTAATCAAAAAGATTAATGATCGATTAATGATCACTCGAGATGTGTATCCCAGAGGAGTCAATTGAAAAAACGATCGTGAAGAGTTTAGAAGATTAGAAATGGAGAGCACACGAGGAGTGGATGCACTTGCGTCATTGCAAAAGGTTTTTAGCCATGTCATTCAGGGTCTCTGACCATCGATTAATATCGTCTCGTGGACCCCAACCTGGTAGTCGATACTTACCAACATGACTCAGTCCACTTGTCAGCGATCCTCTTCCAACCTACTCGTACGCCACAAAACATAGTTCGTTGAGGCAGTCGGTGGTTGGGCATTCACAACACATGTCCCAACCACCTCAAATGATGAACATTCACTATTTCATCAACTGATCAGCCATTATTACCTAATACCTGTTCCCTAACAACAGGATTGCTTACTCGATAGCTCCAAGAGTTCCAACGAGCAATACTTCGAAGACACCTATGATAGAATACTAATAGCCTACAAATATCCTCTACTCTTAATAGCCATGTTTCACACCCATAAAGTAGGACGAAGAGAACTGTTTGCTGTACAGTAAACCTTGTCCTTTGGTTAATAGACACATATCTCGCCTACACCATAAATGAAACAAGTTGGCAAACACCAATCGAATCTTCTCTATCCACGCTAAGATTTCGTCACACACACACGCACACACACTAGGCAATCAACATTGATGTGACATACTTTCAAGATAATATTTAAATGAATGCTGACACAAAATGAATCATCTATCAAACTATACTTACATTAATTCCAGGTTTCATTTTTAATTCTTGTTTAATTAATTTTGATAATTCATTGTAAATATCATCTTCCTTTAAATAGAAAAAAATAATCTTTTTAAAAAAATTAGGAGAATACACATGACAAATAAATATTGATTTTTTTTAAAACTATATAACACCTATGTAATGGGGTTTAATTAGGTTGTACTATGGATGAACAGAAAAATATTATGTATGAAGGCTTCTTCGATATACTATGGTGTGCCTGAGAAGATAGTCAACAGCACGCGGAATTGTTATGATGGACTTAACTGCCAGGTCATGCATACAGGACAGCTCATAAACTCGTTCTAAGTGAAGACCTTTATAAGGCGAAGTTGCTTACTCTCACCTTTCCACTTTCTCCTGGAGATCGACTGGATTATGAAGATGTCGACATCTGAGAGAAAGAACGGAATACAGTGGAAAGTTGGAATGCAGCTGGACGGTTTGGACTTCGTGGCTGTTTTGGATCTTCTGTTGCACACGCAACAACAAAATGTAAGAAAAGACGACCAGTTTAGAAGCAGCAGGTCTTAACATACACAAATGGAAAAGCAAGATACTCCGATGCAGCACAATATGCACCAACCAAATCACACTTGACGAAGAAGCTTTGGAGGATATAAAAACCTTTACAGATCTATCTGGTCAGCGTTACTGATGAGCAAAGCTGATCTGATCTACATGTGGATAAGAGGGTTAGCAAAGCAAGAGCAACATTTCTACAATTGAACAACATCTGTTACTCTAAACAAGTATCGACAATCATCAAAGACATAATTTTCAATACAAATGTCAAGACGGTTCTACTATGTGGAGAACCAATGCCATCATCCATAAGATACAAGTGTTTATTAACAGTTGTCTACACAAAATTCTTCGGATCCGTTGACCAGACACCCCATAAGCAACAACCTACTTCGCGAGAGAACAAACCAAATTTCAGCTAAGGAAGAAATTAGTAAGAGGCACTGGAAGTGGATAGGATACACACTGAGGAAAGCACTCAACTGAATCAAAAGACAAGCCCTTACTTGGAACCCTCAAGGTTAAAGGAAAAGAGGAAGGCCAAGGAACACATTACACCGAGTAATGGAGACAGACATGAGAACAACGATTGGATAGAACTGTAAAAGAAGGCCGAGGACAGAGTAGGTAATCAATAGTCTTAACCTATTACTGTTAACTGCGTAACTTAATATAATCTCATACATAATTTCTTATTCTGACTCACCTTTTGCTCTTCTATTCAAACTATCTTACTTCTTTGGTAATTTTTTTTGAATGAATATGTATAGACAAAATTTATGGAATTATTATTTTATACTATCGTACTGCGAAGCTATGAAGTAACTAAATTACCACGTTGTTATATTCCGTTTTGTTGTAAGTTTTCGTTTGACCCACATTAATTATTATAGGTAAGTATTATAGGTAAAACAATATTCTTTAATTTATTCCTAGTCTATGTTTATTGACAGTTTTTGCTGCTCACAGTCACTTTTTAATTTGATTCTTGTTTTCTATCTATTGATATAATGCAATCAAGTGTTGTATATCATCTGTATGTTAGTTATGTATCCTTATAAAATATATATGATTCTCAATAGTAGAGGACTGATTGTGTTCTAAATTCAACGAGCTGGGCAGGGCTGACTCAAAGTTATTGGCGTTTTATTGTATTCCAATTGAATGTTTGTGTCATGTAAAATGAATAAGGCACCTGTCAAAAGTCAGTCAGTTACAACGTAGAACTACGTACGTACGTATATCAGTGTTCCACTTGACATACCCATTACCACAGAGACGCAACTGTTAATTCAAATACCATAGTAGTAGAGGTAGTAGAAGCATTACTGGTAATGGAAAAGACACAAGCACACATTTAGGCGTCCGACGACAGCTATCTTCCTGGACCTTAAGGTGGCATTTGACTCTGTTGATCGTGAGGTTCTGTGGCAGTGTCTGTCATTAAAAGGTGTACCAAAGAAGCACATTTACCTTATACAGGTTCTCTACTCGAACACTACAGGGCGCGTTAGAGCTTACGGAGAACTGTCATCGGAATTCTCTACTTCAAGTGGTGTCGGTCAGGGCTGTCCACTCTCTCCATTCTTGTTTAATTTTGTCATAGACATGCTGCCAGATATAACATTATCTTCGTCTGAATTTTCAGGAGTAGACCTACCAGGAGTCTCACTGACAAGTGAACTGAGTTATGTCGGTAGGTGTCGACTACCTGGTTGGGGTCCGCGAGATGATAATTAATCGATGGTTAGAGACCCTGAATGACATGGCTCAAAACCGTTTGCAATAGCGCAGGTGCATTGATTCTTTGTGTTCTTTCAAACCCTAAACTTTTTAATTCTCCATCACTTTATCTTTTTAAGTTTATTTCACTAGATACTACTTCTTGAATAATATCTTCTAATCCTAACCTCTCCGATTACTTCTAATACCTTTACTACCTCTGCTGCTATTGGATTTAAATTTAAAATTACATCTCTGTCCTAATGTGGTATGGCGACATGAACTGATGTACTTACGTATGAAGTTCTACGTTGCTATTAATTGAAAAAAAATTGGAAAAGATTTGGGATCGAAGAAATTATTCAAGAAGTATAATTCAGTAAAATAAGTTTAAAAAGAGAAAGACAGACATGATGAGGAATTCAGAAGATTAGAATTCGAGAGAAAAGAGGGAGTGAATGCAACTGTGCCATTGCAAACGATTTTGAGTCATCAATTACTATCATCTTGCGGACCCCGACCAGATAGTCGACACCTACTAACATAGCTAAGTCTAGTTGTCAGTGACTTCATGGATTTGTGCCATGTTTTGGTTTGGCCGACCCTAACTTTCTTCCAACCCACTCCTACACCACAAAACATAGCTCGTCGAGGTAGGCGGTGGTTAGGCATTCGTAACACATGTCCCGACCACCTCAACTGATGAAATTTCACTACTTCATCTATTGATCTGCCATCCTTACCTAGAACTCGTTTCCTAACGATAGCATTGCTTATACGGTTGTCATGGTTGAGGTCTATGTGATAATAGTTAACCGAAGGTTAGAGACTTTCAATAGCATGGTTCAAAATCGATTGCAATGGCACTTGTTCATCCATTCTTTTGTATTCTCTCAAATTCTAATCTTCTGCATTCCTCATCATCTCTATCTTTCTCTTTCTACGTTTATTTCACAGAATTGTACTTCTTGAATCATATCGTTGAACCCTAATCTTCTTCATTACCGCTAATACTTCCACTACAGCTATCACTCTTGGATTTGAACTGACAATATGTCCACGCAATAGATGGCAACTTGAACTGTGATGTACAAACACGAATGAAGTTCTACGTTGTAACTGATTGGCTGATTGATCTATGTATCATATAATCTTGCCAATCTGTATGCAAATCACAACATATCCATAGTGTACATTCATAAGTATTTTTAATTATTCAAAAAATCAAATTTTTTTCTACTTACAGTAATTGGATTTAAATAAGTTGTTATCATTTCATTCATTATATATGAATTATTTTGATTTGTATAAAAAAATTGTTGAAAACTTGTTAAAATTAATAATGTATATTTTTCTGGCATTACAGGGGTTGTTAAGATTGTTAAGTTACACATTTTTTTTTTGAAACCATGAATCGTTCAATGTTAGACCACCATTAGAAACCAAGAAGCACTGACAGACGGCCGTTTCGTCCTGGTGTGGGACTCTTCAGCAGTGCGCATCCACGACTCCTGCACCCCGCAGGGTTCGAACCCAGGACTTTGGTATTGTGCGCAAACGCCCCAACCGTTAGACCACTGAGCCGGTATCTAACAGTGTTAATGTCTAACTTGATCAAATTCACGAAGTTGCGCAACCTCATACACAGTTTTCGGTAGACATTGCCTACACCCGAACAGGTTTGAACTTCACTGGTCATGACTTCCCACCACCAGAACTCGGAGAAGATACCTCACGAAGCTAGTCACTAGTGAGCACAGGTAATTTGTATTACAGGGATTGTGAAGATTGTTAAGGTACACATTTTTGAAACCATGAACTGATCAATGTTAGACATTAACACCGTTAGATACCGGCTCAGTGGTCCGATGGGTTAGGCGTTTTTTTAAATATTCCAACAACAACAAAAAATCAAAAAATCAAATTTTTTTCTACTTACAGTAATTGGATTTAAATAAGTTGTTTTCATTTCATTCATTATATATGAATTATTTTGATTTGTATAAAAAAATTGTTGAAAACTTGTCAAGATTAATGATGTATATTTTTTTTGTAATATAATATTTTCATTTGGAAATATACGATACCAATTACCACTATTTTGATGTTCATAAAAATCAATTGATAATTGTTGACGTATTGCATATAATTGTTGTTTCTAAAAAAGGTTGAATAAAAAATATAAAAAGAACATCAAAAAATATTATCATTATGTGAATTGTTCAGTTTTGAGTGATGATCACTAATCAATAAAAAACAGATCAGAAGGTCGAGAGATATACAATCATGAAAATAAACAGGCAAGCAAGGACGGGTTTCAAGGTCACTGACAGCCAATCAACGGCTAGGTGTCAATAGGACACGCTGTGAGTCTCAAACATGTGGAGACAAATGCAGATGATATTGTTCAGCAACAGAACAGTGATGTAAGAACTACAACCAAAACATTTGGCTAAGGGAGTGAAGTATTGATGTCACAAACAGTGATCAAGATTAGTCAGTCAAGATTTCATGTAGTTCCCAGATCCAAGATAAGATTTCAGTTAATCTAACTGTTAAAACTGGACTGACACCATTAAAAATCTCAGCGGTTAATCTATCAGGTTAATCTATCTCTCTCTCTCTCACTTGATATTGTATTCAGTTAGCCAGTCAACAAAAATATAGAACTTCGTACGTACGTACATCAGTTCCAGTTGCTATACCAAATTAGCTCAGAGATGTAACTGTCAATTCAAATCCCATCGTAATAGAGGTATTAAAAATATTAGCAGTAATCGTAGAGATTACAGGTTCGAAGATATTATTCAAGAAGTAGAATCTAGTGAAATAAATTTACAAAGAAAAAGATAAAGGTGATGAAGAACTATGAAGGTTAGGATTTGACAGAACAAAAAGTATGAATGCACCTGCACCACTGCAAACGGTGTTGAGCCATGTCATTCAGGGTCTCTAACCATCGATCTCTATCACCTACCGACGTGACTTAGTCCACTTATAAGTGACTTCATGGATTTGTGACATGCTGTGGTCTGGCCACCCCTATCTTTCTTCCAATCTATTCCTCCATCACTAAATATAGCTCGACGACGTAGTCGGTGGTTAGGCATACGTAACACATGTCCCAAACACCTCAACTGATGAGGTTTCAATACTTCATCTATTTACCTGCCATCCTAACAACAGCATTAGTTACTCGGTTATCCCAGGAAACACGAACAATGCTTCGATGACATCTAAAATCGAATACTAATAACATACAAATATCCTCAACTCATATCGGCCATGTTGCACAACTGCGAACTGCTTCGCAGCACATTTGTCCTTTAGTCAACAAACGGATATCTCGCCTTCTCCATAAGTGACGCAAGTTGGCAAAAGCCAATCGAGCCTTGTGTATCCGTGCTGAGATTTCGCTAGTCAACACACCAGCAGTACTGATGAGACTTCCCAGATAAGTGAAGCGGTCAACACTTTGTTTGTCAACCTCATTAAGAGTTGGACGGCTTACATCAATTTACCATTCAGTTTGATTAGCGATGATATGTAACTAAAATATGGCAGAAAGCCCTTTTAACTTATTCCCCAGAGAGTTTTGCTCATCGATTCAATCTCTTGGAGTGAAAGTAAATCATAGTGTTACTAACAGCTGGATTTCTAATACTCCTTTTCCTAAGTCTAAACAGGTTCTTTTACTGTTATCTATTACTGATCTCTCTTCTATTTATCTCGCTTTGATTAGTCATCACTATGGCAGGTTTCAAGGTCAATGGCAGCCAATCAACGGTTAGGTGTCAAAGGGACAAGTTATGAGTTATATACATGTGAAGAAATGCGAATACTCTTCATTTCTTCTAGTTGAAGTTTATGCAGATGATGTTGTTCAATAGAAGAACCAGCCATGAAAGATTCACAACTCAAACATCCAGTTAACTGGTGAAGTATTATTGTCACAATCAGTAATCGAGACTGGTCAGTTGTGATTTCATCTATTTCCTTGATTCTATCTGAGAACTCAGTTAATCTAACAATTAAAAGTGCACTGCCACCTTTAAAAATCTCAGTGGTTAATCTGTAAAATTCATCTATCTCTCTCTCCCACTTCATATTACAGTCAATCAGCCAGTCAACAACAACATAGAATGTCGTATGTACGTACATCAGTTCAAGTTGCCAAATAACACATTAGCACAGAGATTCTATTGTCAATTGAAATGCCACAGTAGAAGAGGTAGTAAAAGTATTAGCAGTAATTGGAGTTTTTACTGTTCGAAGATATTATTCAAGAAGTAGAATCTAGTGAAATAAACTTGAAAGCAAAAGATAAAGGTGATGAGGAATTTAGAAGGCTAGAATATGAGATAATACACAGAATCAATGCACCTACGCCATTGCAAACGGTTTTGAGCAATGTCATTCAAGGTCTGAAACCATCGGTTACTGTTGTCTCCTGAACCCTAACCTGGTAGTCGACATCTACCAACATGACTCAATCCACTTGTCAGTGACTTCATGGATTTCTGCCATTTTTTGGTTTGACCGACCCTAGATTTCTTCCAACCTTCTCCTACACCACAAAACATAGCTCGATGAGGTAGTCGGTGGTTAGGCATACGTAACACATGTCCCAACCACCTCAGCTGATGAAGTTTCATTTCTTCATGTATTGATTTGCCGTCCCTACTTAGTACCCGTTTCCTAACGACAGCATTGGTTACTCGGTTGTCTCAGGATATACGAGCAGTGCTTCGAAGATATCCATAATCGAATACTAATAACCTACAAATATCCTCAACTCTTATCGGCCATGTTTCAAAACCATAAATAAGAACGGAGTGAACTGATGCGCAGTACATTCATCCTTTAGTCACCAAACGGATATCTCGCCTTCTCCATAAGTGACGTAAGTTGGCAAAAGCCAGTCGAGCCTTCTGTATACGTGCTGAGATTTCGTCAGTCAACACACCATCAGTACTGATGAGACTCCCGAGATCAGTGAAGCGGTCAACACTTGAGATTGCCTATTTTGTTTGTCAACCCTCATTAAGAGTTGGAGTACTTACATCAGTTCGTCATTCAGTTTGATTCGAGATGATATGTAACTAAAATATGGCAGAAGGCCCTTTGAACTTATTCCCTAGAGAGTTTTGCTCATCGATTCAATCTCTTGGAGTGAAAGTAAGCAATAGTTTTACTAACAGCTGGATTTCCTAATACTCCTTTTTCTAAAACAAGTCTAAACAGTTTTTTTTATACTGTTATCTATCACTGATCTGTTTTCTATTTATTTCGCTTTGATTAATCATCACAATGACAGGTTTCAAGGTCACTGACAACCAATCAACGGTTAGATGTCAATGAGACAAGCTGTGAGTCTCATTTCTTCAATAGGACAAGTTATGAGTCATATACATGTGGAGAAATTCGATAACTATTCATTTCTTCTATTTGAAGTTTATGTTGATGATGTTGTTCAGCAAGAGAATAGTGATGATAGTTCTAAAACCAAAATATCTAGCTAAGGGGGTGAAGTGTGGTGCGCGCTACTTATAAGTAGTATATGACGCGAGTGTAAACGTAATGTCTGACAGCAGAAGATGGGGGAAGATCAAGAAAGGAAGAAGAGTGGGAACATAATGGAATTTGTATGAAACGCATGAATAAGTGAAATATCAGACAATGGATTGAAGATTTGCAAATTAACGATTTACGATATGGTTTTCCTATTTTACTGAGTAACTCTGTAATTTGCGATAATTACAATTTGGTTGCCCTCACCTATGTTCTCCTTCACTACAGAAGTATTATTGTCATAACTAGTGACCAAGATTTCGTGTAGTTCATAGATCTAAGATAAGATTTCAGTTAATCTAACAATTAAAAGTGCACTGCCACCTTTAAAAATCTCAGTGGTTAATCTGTAAAATTCATCTATCTCTCTCTCCCACTTCATATTACAGTCAATCAGCCAGTCAACAACAACATAGAATGTCGTATGTACGTACATCAGTTCAAGTTGCCAAATAACACATTAGCACAGAGATTCTATTGTCAATTGAAATGCCACAGTAGAAGAGGTAGTAAAAGTATTAGCAGTAATTGGAGTTTTTACTGTTCGAAGATATTATTCAAGAAGTAGAATCTAGTGAAATAAACTTGAAAGCAAAAGATAAAGGTGATGAAGAACTCTGAAGGTTACGATTTGAAAGAACACAAAGAATGAATGCATCTGCGCAATTTCCCTGTCGGATGTAGTCAGTAACTACCAAAGACAATAGGTGAGATCGCGCGAAAATCCCTAGATTTATCCGATTTACACATTAACACCGTTAAATGCCAGCTCAGTGGTTAGTCTACAAGTTAAGCATTCACGCTCAAGACCGAAAGTCCTGGATTCGAATCCTATACGAGTAACATGAGTCATGAATGCGTACCGCCACCGATGAATCCCATACACCAGAACAAAACGACCGTCTTTCAATGCTTCCAAAGTTTCTTTGGACAAAAACATAAAAAATGAAATTAATCACCAATCATTATTAATATTTTCTTCTAAAATTAATTTTTTTTTAAAAAAATCAAACTTACTAAACAATTAATTTTCCAATTGAATTTTCTACTCTCTGATTTTGCATAAGCATTATTATTATTATTATTATTATTTTTATTAAGTAACAATTTCATATAATCACAGTTGGTATAGTTTGATAAAGATGATTGACAATTTCGTGTTGACTGAACATTATTATTATTATTGTGATTATTATTATTATTATTATTACGACGAAAATATTTATAAATATTATTACTGTTATTATTATTATTATTACTGTTATTATTATTATTACGATTACGATTACGATTGATACGATTCTTGTGTTTTGACGATGATGATGGCGATGAGGATAATGATGAATACATCCAATTTTGTGTTTGTACCGATTGACTACTGTATAAACGTTTTCTAGTAAGTAATTTTTGTTGTTTCTCTACAGAAGATTTATCTGATGGTCTGGTGGTACAGAGACAAAAAAAACACACAAAGAACAAATTGTTATGAATGCATGTTAACATGTCATATTGATATGATTGAAGGATTATTACTGTAGTGAAGGAGAACACAGGTGAGGGCGACCGAATTTTATTTGACGAAAATGACAGAGTTACTCAGTAAAATAGGAAAACCATATCGTAAACGGTGAAATTTGCAAATCTTCAATCCATCATCAGTCCATTGTCTGACATTTCACTTATATTCATGCGTTTCATACACAAATTCCATTGTGTCCCCACTCTTCCTTTCTCTTGATCTTTCCTCATCTTCTGCTGCCAGACATTACGTTTACACTCGCGTCATATACTACTTATAAGTTGCGCGCACCACATTACAAGTTTACCTTGGTTGGAAAACGAGAGCGAGGATCTAGTGACACGACAGGCTACTCTAATCCGAGTGTCCCAAACCCCCCGCTGAGTAGAAGAAGAAGACTTGATATGAACGTGAATTCTACAAACATCCAGATAGTTCGAGGTCCGAGTCCAGAATAGGCCCAAGGATCCCAGACTAAGGATACGGATCATAAAACTCTACATATAATGCTAATTTATACAATTAGGGCAACCAATAGGAAACAACATTTGAAGTATGTGACATTGTTAGTTAAGACGACCAATAGGAATTATTGACCAGTAGGAATTGACCAATAGAATTAGACTTACAAACAAACGAACAAGTACAAATGAATTGTTATCATATTGTCCATGATAAATTATCATGATGAAAGTTATCAGGTGGAAATAGAAACCACAAAAGATATTAGCTGGTGAATATTCAAGGTACACAGTTAGTTAGTTATCCATAGTGATAGAGTATAGGCCGCCGACCAAGTATTCTCTAACCTACTCTGTCCTCCGGCTTGCCTTTCCAATTATGTCAAATTTTTGTTCATCCTTCTCATGTCTGTCTCTATTTGTCGGTATAATGTGCTATTTGGCCTTTCACTTTTTCTTTTGCCTTGAAGGTCCCAAATGACATCTGGTCTTGTGACACAGTTGGATGCTTTCCTCAGAGTATGTCCTATCCACTTCCAGCGCTTCTTCCAATTACTGTTGATTCTTTTCAAGTCCGTCTCTAATTCTTTATGTTAATGTGTTTCTTGGCCTTCCTGTATTTTTTTTCTCATTGAGGATTCCAAATGAAGGCTTGTTCTTTGATGCAGTTGGATGATTTCCATAATGTGTATACTATCCACGTCCAATGGTTTTTACTAATTTCTTTCTCTGCTCGAATCTGATTTGTTCTCTCTCACGGTAAGTTGTGGCTGATAGTGTCTGTCCAAGGGATTCGAAGCATTTGGCTTAGACAGTTGTTAGTGAATACTTGGATCTTCTGGATGATGACTATCGTAGTTCTTCAAGTTTACTCCACCTCATACAGTAGAACTATTTCAACATTTGTATTGAAAATCCTGATCTTGATGTTGGTTGACAGTTCATTCGATTTCCAGATGTTGTTTAATTATAGGAACGCTGCCCATGATTTTCCAACCCGAGTTTTCATATGTACATCAAATCCACTTCACGCATCAACAATGCTTTCTAGGTACGTCAAGGTTTTTTACATCCTTCGAAGCTTCTTCATCAAGTATAATCTGATTGGTGCATGTTGTGTTTTATCAAAGGATCTTGTTGTTTTTTCCGTTTGTGGTATGTTGAGACTTACTACTGAAGAAGCATTTTAGTAATAAAATGTTGTGATAATCTCAACTGATAAATGTGCATATCAAATTGCTGATATAACACTTTCTGTACGACATAATCTTTCATTTCACATTCAATACATTAATATAATTGTTCAATGTATTTATGGAAGTTCTTGAGATTGAGATGCGCTGTTCAGCAAAAAAAACATTGATTTATCCAACGAACAATTCTTTGATTACACATTTTCGAAACCATGAATCGATCAATGTTAGACCACCATTAGAAACGTGGAAGCACTGGACGGCTGTTTCTTCCTGGTATGGGACTCCTCAGCAGTGCGCATCCAAGACTCCTGCACCCCGCAGGATTCGAACCCAGGACCCTCGGTATTGTAGGCGAATGCCTAACCATACCAGGACGAAACGGCCGTCATCCAGTGCTTCCAGGTTTCTAATGGTGGTCCAACATTGATCGATTCATGGTTTCAAAAATGTGTAACTTAACAATAATGAGAATTCTTTGATTGACAAATAAATAATAATTTCCTTACAAACTACAACTTGTAAACTGTTTAACAATTTTTTTTCTCAACAATTACATAAATAGATGTTAGGTTCGTCACAAGGTATGATTGAGACTACTATGGGTTCACCTTAGTCAATGAAAACAAGAACGAGACAATGAACCAGCGTCCTGGTAAGCTACCCTGATTTGATGACTAACTAAAAAGTCTTGATATAGCGTTGGAAGTATATTCTACAAACAACCAGCGAACACAATGGTTTCAAGCACACAAATGGCGTTTATTTACACATCATAGAAACGTCATTGGGACAGTCACAGAAATAGCACACTAAAATACATAGCAACCAATCACAGCCAAGGATTTTCCTGGTGGGAAATGTGATCCCACAGTCAACTGATCAGCCCATGCTCACAAACATGAAATCCAAATAAGGGCATTTATCAAACGAGTTCTGGGGATCTAACATCCTCCAACAAATAAAACACAGCATCAACATTTTATTAAAATGATGGATTATCGATCAGAGATTTGTTCAGACATGCGCACATTAATTTGGTTAGGATCTGCTTAACTTACCTTCCAAAACTATTGCAGACAAGGATTAGACAGAGTCACAATAGTTTCAGATACTTTCCGCTCATTGTACTCATTTAAAGTTGTTGAAGAGTTATTTTATGTAGTAAGAATAAATTTTTTTTTATTTTCAAAATTATACTACTTTGATTTGGATCTATTTTTGATTATCATTCATAGCATTAGTAATTGTATTCGTTTTGCTATACATCTCCTTGAGTTAATATATGCAATGTGACAATGTGGACAACTGCTTGTATACATATTGTTCAAGGCGTTAGATCCACAGAACTCACTTGGGAAAGGTCCTAATTTTGGATTTTTTATGTTTTCGTGCAAGGGTTGATCAGTTGACCTTGAGATTACATTTCCCACTTGGAAAATCCTTGACTGTCATTGGTTGATGTATTATTTTAGTACTCTCATATTTGTGGCATTCACCAAGGACGTTACTATCATTGTATGAATCAAATCGATTTGTGTGCTTGTGAACCTCATACTGTCTGGGTGATTGTAAAATACACTTTATACGCTATATCAGGACTTTTTAATATAGTTAGTAGAGCTGGGGACAACCAAATTAGAATAGTTTATCGTTTCAATGGATCATTTGTCTTCGCTCTGGTTTACCGACTAAGGTGAATTCGTAATAGTAGTTTCAATCATATCAATCGACGAGCATATCACATATAAGCTAGGTTATATGTTGTTGACAACTGATGAATTACTTTTGATGGAGGGTGAGGCCAAAAAAAACTATTCTTCATCAAAGTCACTAGAAACTTAGAAATAATTATTAAACCAGTCTTGTGAATAGAAGCTACTTTGAAATATTTAGAAAAATTTAGGATTACACGTCACGTTTAGATTTGGATAAATATTCATACTGTTACTATATCTAACATGTTTCTAGAAATTTCTAGGGGATCAAGGTCATTTCCTTACATAAACTAACCTTGAAGTAAAGCTCTTACTCTTATTTCCTATCAACTCTTTATTGTTCATAATTAACATGTAGAAATAGCAAACGATGAGAAAGGTAGTAGTAGCAGTAGTAGTGTGGATAGTTGTAGTAGTTAGTTTGAGTAGTAGTAGTAATGTGAATAATAGTAGCAGTAGTAGTAGTGAGTAGTATTACATTTTACGAAGAAGTCAAAACGACATCGAACATACATAAATTTTCGAGAAGATAATCAGTTTATGCAATATGTCCACATAGTCTTCAATCATCGATCGACACAATCTAAGAAAGTTATGGTGATTGTCTTCACTTATATCTCTACTAGTCTTCAAAACACACTGATCACGCCCTGCATTACGATATCCAGACACTCACCCCTCTGAGATGGTGGAAAAGATTTGTAGCTCGGGTGGATAATTGTGGTGGTGGTGTTTGGTTCTCTGAGCTGGATGTTTTGGTTATGGAGCTTTCATTGTTCTTCTTCTGAACAACATCATCAGCACAAACTTCAGGCAGAGAAGTGAAGCATTCGAATTTCTCCACGTCTGACCTGTAGCTTGTTTTGTTAACCTCGATTTTGATTGGTTGTTGTTGACCTTAAACCTGTCGTTGTTCACACCTTTGTTTTGATTGCATCCGCCTTTTGATCTGTTTCTTGATCCCATGTCACCTATGATTTTCCTGATTGGTTGATAAATTGGGTCAATGTCGATGTCGACAACTAATCAAGATCGAGGTTAGCTAAACAAGCTACAGGTCAGACGTGGAGGAATTCAGATGCTTCACTTGTATCTGAAGTTTGTGCTGCTGATGATGTTGTTCAGAAGAACAATGAAAGTTCCACAACCAAAACATCCAGCTCAGAGAACCAAACACCACCATAATCAGCCCTCTCTCTCTCTCTCTTTAATAGCAACTTTCAGGCGACGCTCTACTGTATACCAGTTATATTCCACCTTGTGAGTAGCATCGAGTAGTAGTAGTAGTAGTAGTCGGGGTTGTAGTAGTAGTAGTTGGAGTAGTAGTAGTAGTCGGAGTAGCAGTAGTCAAAGTAGTCGGAGTAGTCGGACTGATAGTAGTAACAACAGGTGCATTAACTTTACTTCACACAATCAAATCAAAATGAAAAAAAAATCAATAATTCCCATCAAATTAAAAAAACCATTCACTGATTCACTCACTGACTCACTCACTCACTCATTCACTCACTCACTTAATATTTAATAAACGTATTGTATCCATTAACAAATTATACTTTATCTGTTTATCTAATTTTTGATCAATATTATAACTTGGTGAACGATTCACTTCAATTAACCAAGGATTTAATTGATTGTCAATTAATATATCAAAACCAAGAATTTCAAATAAATTCGATTGAAATAATGTCATCATCATCATTGGTTGAGAATAGATTTTCGATGTGCTGTTGGTTGTGGCTGCAGGTGTTGATGCTGCAGGTGTTGTTGTTGTTGCAGGTGTTGTTGTTGCAGGTGTTGTTCCTGCTGCAGTGTGTGGTGGTGATGATGGTGATGATGATGAGATTCTGATTGGTTGTCTGATTTTATTGATTGTAGGAAATTGTTTAAAAGTGTATTTGTCATTATTATTATTATTGTTATCAGTAGTATAAGTAGTATTAGTAGTAGTATTGGTAGTATTTTGATTAGATTTATGTTGTACAATCCGATAAAAATGTACTAAATGTGGTAATGCTATAATTAATGTTTTAATAATTAAATCATAAATTTTATCCCATATTAACATTGGATTAGTTTTTTTTACATTATATAAATAATGATTGAAAAAGTTGAATGAACGTTTACTACCAGATAAATCATCTGTGGTACGATGATATTGACTATGATGTCGATTGACAGCATAATTAGTCAATTGTCGATAGATGGAATCCTGTGAAGTTGTGGGGAAAAAAAACAAACAGAGAGATTCTTATTTTTTGTTAATTAGATTTATGGAGATCAATCATTGTTAGACTGCAACCATTAAAAATTTGGAAGCAGTGGACGATAGTTTCGTCCTGGTGTATGGGATTCATCAGAGACAGTGTGCATCCATGACTCCTGTACCTCGCAGGATTCGAGCCTAGGACCTTTGTCCTTGCCGGTCCAGAGGTTAGACGTTTGAGCGCTAAATCGAAGGTCCTGAGTTCGAATTCTGTGAGGTGCAGGAGTTGTGGATGCTCAGTGTCGCTGATGAATCCCATACACCAGGATGAAATTCCGCCACCCAGTGCTTCCAGGTTTCTAATGGTGGTGGCCTAACAATGATACTCATATAAGTGAGCGTTGTCTTGTCATAGTATGAAACTTTCCTAAGAGGAACGAATCGATATGCCTGAAATCTTTCACAGTCAATATTCAACACCACACATGTGTTTTGCTCTGTTCAAATCATGATATTTTGTAATTATTTTTTAAATGTTATCGGTGAGCGACGAACTTGCATTCATGATTGTTGAATACAGCTCATCATAGTTAATCTGTTGAAGTCATATGCTCACTTATTCATATCATGAAACATACAAATTCATACAAAAAACTGCCAGTTGACTAGAATTAGTACGATCGAGTGGCTGGACTGCCACCCAATGAATATTACCGAATCAGTCAGTTAGTCAGTTAGTCAATGTAGAACTTCGTACGTAAGTACATAAATTCAGGTTGTCATACGGCATAAGCACAGAGGTACAACTGTCAACTCAAATCCCATAGTGGTAACGATAGTAGAAGTATTAGCAGTGATGGATAATATTAGGGTTTGAATATGTTATTGAAGAAGTATAATACAGTGAGATAAATTTAGAAAGAGAGAGGTGATGAGGAAGGTAAGAATTTGAGAGAACAGAAAGAATGGATGCACTTGAGCAATTGCGAACGGTTTTGAGCCATATCATTCAAGGTCTCTAACTATCGATGAATATCTTCTCGCGGACTCCAACCAATGTAGTCTACATCTACCAACATAACTGAGTCCACTTGTCCGTGATTTCATAGATTCGTGCCATGTTTTGGTTTGCCCAGCCCTAGCTTTATTCCAACCTACTTCCACACTACAAAACACAGCTCATTTAGGCAGTTGGTGGTTGGGAATACGCAACGGAAGTCCCAACTGCCTCACCTAATAAAGATTCGTCAGATTTACTTTACTGCCGCTACACCCAACAGGGTTGAACTCCACTGCTTACGTCTAATTAGAAAAAAACAATGTTAGATAATTTGAAATAGTCTTTAGAAAATCTTGTATTTATTCATCCCCTTTAAGGAAAAGGAAAAGCGTAACACCAAAGAACACTTGAAACAAAAGAGAATTCAAGACAGACATGAATGGAATTGGAAAAGAAGGATAAGAATAGAGTTGGTCATATACTTGATTAGCGTTAGCAGATTATTATGTTTGTCACTAAGTATGCTTGAGGCTATTACGAGTTTACCTTAGTCGATAAACGCGAACGAGACAATGAACCAGCGTCCAGGTAGGCTACCTTGAATCCCCAATTAGAGTAAAAAGGCTTTGTAAGCGTAGAAAGTATACTGTACAAACACCCAGCAATCACACAATACAATCAAGCATACAACTCTCGTTTGTTTATACATCATACAAACGTCCTTGGGACAGTCATAAAAAAATAGCACACTAAAATACACAGCAGCTAATCACAGCCATGGATTTTCCTGGTGGAAAATGAAATCTCAAGGTCAACTGATCGGCCCATGCTGGCAAACGTGAAAACCAAAATAAGGCATTTATTTATCAAGCGAGTTTTAGGGATCTAACATCCCCAACACAGATGTCAGGTAAAGTAAGTATTTATTGATTGTTTTATGCTTGTACACTACTACAAATCAAACTTCAGAAACTTTCAGCTCAAGTACTGACTGATATGTTGTTAGGACATTCACTAAATATCCTATTGGTCAATAGTATGGTCGTCCTAGATATCAATGTGACATACTTCAAATGTTGTTTCCTATTGGTCGTCTTAACTGTCAGTGTGACAGACGTCGACGCTGTTTCCTATTCGACCTTAATGTATAAATACGCATTACCTGTAACGTTTTATGATCAGGAATCGGACCAGTATCCCTAGTCCGGAACCCTGATTCTCTTCTAGACTCGAACCTCGTACTTTCTGAATATTTGTAGAATACATGTTCTACTTCATATCAAATCTTGTCTTCTTTTACTCAATATGGGAGTTGGAAATAATCGGATTTGAGTAGTATGTCCTGTCACCCGGACCCTCGATCCTCACTCTCGTTTTCCGACTAAATAAACTCTTAATAGCATTCAAACATATCAAATTGACATATTTTAACGTTCATGCATAACAAATGCCAAAAAAAAGCTTACATTCAATACAACAACAACAACAACAACTTACTCCATTCGGTTCATATGGATAAATATATTTTTCAGCACTTAAACGTACTAATCCATCATTATAAATGAAAATTCTCAATGGATCACATGATGTAACAAGTACATAAACACGTAAATCAAATTTATAACCATCAATTAATAATGGACGTTCAATATATTCTTGAATAACACTAATTAAACAATTAGTGTTATTATTATTATTGTTATTAAGATTATTAATATTATGACTATGATTATTGATAATATTTCCGGAGAGTTTATTTAGATTACAATATAAACGAATTCTGAAAGAAAAAATATAATAAGAGAAAGAGAGAGAGTTATAGAGAAATACAAAATGAAAATATTTGTATATGTACTCACTTTCTTACTTACTTACTTACTTACTTATGCCTGTTACCCCCAATGGAGGAGTATAGGCCGCCGACCACCAGTTTTCTCCAACCAACTCTGTACTTCGGATTCCTTTTCTAGTTCTGTCCAATTCTTGTTCATTCTTTTCATATCTTTCTTTCTCTATTTCTCGGCGTAATGTGTTCCTTGGCCGTCCTCTTTTCCTTTTGCCTTGATGGTTCCATGTGAGGACTTGTCTTGTAACGCAGTTATAGGTGCTATTCGTAGTGTGTGTCCTATCCACCAACTCCACCGCTTCTTCCTGATTTCCTCCTCCACAGGAATCTGGTTTGTTCTCTCCCACAATTCGTTGTTACTGATCGTGTCTGGCCAACGAATACGAAGTATTTTGCGTAGACAACTGTTAATAAATACTTGTATCTTATGGATGATGCCTTTCGTAGTTCCCCAAGTTTCTACTCCATACAGTGGAACTATCTTGATATTTGTATTGAAAATCCTGATTTCGGTGTTGATTGATATCTGTTTGAAGTTCCACATATATTTCCAGTGTATAAATGTAGCCCTTGCTTTGCCGATCCGTGCCCTCACATCTGCATCGGATCCACCTTTATCGTCGATGATGCTGCCCAGATATGTAAATGTGTTAACGTCCTCCAAAGCATCTCCATAAAGAGTGATTCGGTTGGTGCATGTTGTGTTGCATCAGAGAATTTCTCTGTTTCCTTTATGTATGGTGAGACCTGCTGCTGCCACCGAGGCTGCTGCTACATTGTTCGTCTTCTCTTGCATTTGCTGTTGCGTGTGCGATAGAAGATTCAGGTCATCTGCGAAGTCCAGATCGTCCAGTTGCGTCTTAACTGTCCAGTTGATACCGTGCTTCCCTCTAGATGCTGACGTTTTCATAACCCAGTCGATCACCAGCAGAAAGAGAAAGGGTGAGAGTAAGCAACCTTGCCTCACACCGGTCTTCACCTTGAAAGAGTCTGTTAGCTGTCCTTCGTGTACGATTTTGCAGTTGAATCCATCATAAGAATTCCGTATGATGCTAACTATCTTCTCAGGCACACCGTAGTGTCGAAGAAGCCTCCACAGTGTTTTCCTATCCACGCTATCAAATGCTTTCTCGTAGTCGATGAAGTTGATGTAGAGTGGTGAGTTCCATTCAATTGATTGTTCCACAATGATCCGTAATGTAGCAATTTGGTCAGTTTACACGATCGATCCTTACAAAATTCAGCCTGTTGATCTCGAAGTTGGGCGTCTGTATATAGTTGTATACATATACATACTATTTAAGTAATATATAAATGAATGAATTAAAAAAGGCCTTGATCTTATTCGGTAAACGAACTGAAGAACAATGATTCAGTGATGCAGTGACATGATAGGCTATTCTATTCAGATTGTTCTCCAGATAAGGTTAACTAGATCAAGAAATCTTGATAAAGGCGTAAAGAGAATGTATTCCTATAAGCACCTAGAAAATAATGAGGTTGCTAAGCGCACAAATCGAGTTTATTTATACAATGATTGAAACGCCTTTAATGAGAGCCACAAAAATAGCGTACTAAAAAAATCCGTCAACTAATGATAGTCAAGGCATTTCCGAGTAGGAAATGTAAACTGTAGGTTAAAATAAGCGTGTCTTGGCGTGAAAACATAAAAATTCAAAATTTCAGAAATAAATTACAAAATTAGGACTTTTTCCCAAGTGAATTCTGGGGATCGAACGTACCCAACACTTGCTAAACTATTGAGTTCATATAGTCACTGGCTTTTACAGTAAGCGTGGTTACTGAAGAAGTGGTGGAAGTGGATAGGATACACACTACGAAAAGCACCTAACTGCGTTACAAGACAAGCCCTCACATGGAACCCTCAAGGTAAAAGGAAAAGAGGAAAGCTAAGGAACACATTACACGCCGAGAAATAGAGAAAGAAAGATATGAAAAGAATGAACAACAGTTGGACAGAACTGGAAACGGAAGCTCAGGACAGAGTTGGTTGGAGGAAACTGGTGGGCAGCAGCCTATGGTCCTCTATTCGGGGTAACTGGCGTAAGTAAGTAAGTAATGATGTTACTAGTAGTAAAAAATGTTGAATTATTCATATCGATCATGTCCATATTTCAAGTTTCTTGTGATTGGTCAATGAGTGAACGCAGACCTATCTGTACGTACATTACATAATTTATATTGCTATATATATATATATATATATATATATATATATATATTTCCTTACTGCATTGATATTCTTGTTGTCGATATTTATATATCTGTTGGTTAATTGTGATCAATTCGGTCTCGTGTGCTGTTACAGGTATGGAGATAGATATCACTTACAGGTTGCCCACACTGTAGAAGGATGTTTCTTGAGGAATCTGAAAAAGAAGTTGGATTGGCTTTGGTCTTAACAACCTGGGAGCTTGACCGTAGAACCCAAGGGACAACTGCTTGAGGCCGGTCACGCACCACATTTTTATAGGAAGTTGACGTGTTATCTCCGCTCTTCAAAAAGCTTACTGTCTGAGACAGGAATCTGTGGGGTACAGTGAGGAATGACACTTTTATGGTCGACCTTTTCTAGGCCGTTTCTTTTCGTTTTGAAAAATTAGCTTCGCTACAGATGCTGATTGTTCGAGGAAAACACATTACCGCTGTCACACTCCTTTACAGTCAGCAATACGACTCCATCCTCAGACCTTGAATAGTTGCTTTTAGTTTCATCGTTCTCCAATCGACTTGCCTGACATGGTACAACCTAAAGGAAGATATCTTCCAGCCAATATAGCTCGACTGGGTCATCACGATAAGCAATCCCTCAACCACCACTTCTCGAATTGTCAGATAAGTAATTACTAGTATATCTCAAAAAATTAGGCAACAGCAACGTTATAAAAAAATAGTTTGTAAAGTAGGAATCGTATTGTTAATATTCAATTTACAGTAATATTTATTCAAATTATGTTTAAATTTAGTAGTTCATATTTCACAGTCATTCAGTTCACAATATTTTTTACAGTTTTACCACATAATGTTATTGTTAAACTCGATTAGTCACAACTAATTACTAGAGAATTTCTACATTCTTCTACAGTTGTTCAAGTCTACTGTTAACACATGAACTTCCTACATATGTGTACACAAATCAATTATTTAGGTGAGTAAGAAGCATGCGAGACCAAATATCCTAGATTCCATTTCTGCGTCTAAGAGTCATAGATTTGCACTGCCGAGGAATTGTATGGTAGGGTAAATGGCTTGCCAATGCTTTAAGGTTAGGGTTGATTGTGTTCTAGATAACATTAACTCTTGATGTCAGTTATCAGTTGTAAATCTACATCTGTTCTGCTCAGATAATGAATGTCATTAATGTAGAAACTATTTTACAAATTTAATTTGCAGCAGTATTTTTTATGCTTAGAGGGACGAAGATCAGAATATCAAACTATTCAATGTAATGAAAGTATGAACGATCTACTTAATAGGGCAACCTGAAAACCCTGATTCCATGACTACTCGTGTACATGCACTCCAGAATCCTAATGGAACTAAAGACGTATGAACCTACTACTGGTAACCAACTATCATGGATCTACATTTTCTAAGATTACTCCATTACTGTCTTATGAATTAGACCCATGTAGGTGGAAAGCTTGCGATCCACTAAGAAAACCACCTGATTCCGTTTGACGGGTCAGGGCAATATCCCAGTTAGCTCATTCAAAAATATATTGATTTATGTAGCACATAAATATTTAGGTGTCCCATTTGTACTAATGTTAATGTTTTCAAATAATAATAATAACAATAATAATAGGAGTAAACATTTAATTATATTATCAGTATTTATTTGACATATGACTGCCTCACATATCTCGGAAGTCTCATCATTGCTGATGGCCTGGTGACTGACAAAATCTCAGCAAGGATAAAGAAGGCTCGATTAGCTTTTGCAAATCTGCGTCAATTATGAAGTCGGCGAAATATCCGTTTGCTAACTGAAAGACGAATCTACTGCGCATCAGTTGGCTCCGTCCTATTATACGGATGCAAAACATAGGCGGTAAGAGTAGAAGACATTCTTAGGAGTATTCGATTACAGATGTCTTCGGAGCATTGCTGGTATATCGTGGGACAACCGAGTAAGCAACGCTATAGTGAGGAATCGAGTACTAGGTAGGGATGGCAAATCAGTAGATGAAGTAGTGCAACTCCATCAGTTGAGGAGGTTAGAACATGTGTTACGAATGACCAAACACCGACTGCCTCGACGAGCTATGTTTTGTAGTGTAGGAGTAGGTTGGGAGAAAGCTAGGGACGGCCAAACCAAAACATGGCAAACATTCACAAATTCACTGACAACTCGACTGGGTCATGTCGATAAATGTAGACTACCTGGTTGGGGTGCGCGAGACGAAAGTCACCAATGGTTAGAGACCTTGAACGACATAGCTAAAAATCGTTTGCCATGACACAGGTGCATCCACTTTTTGTGTTCTGTAAAATTCTAATCTTCCGAATTTCCCATCACCTCTATCTTTTTCTTTTTAAATTTAGTTCACTGAATTATACTCCTTGAATAATATCTTCGGACCCTAATCTTCTTCGTAACAGCTAGTACTTCTACTACACCTACCACTAAAGGATTTGAAATGACAGTTGCGTGTCTCTGTACTAATGTGATATGTCAACTTGAACACTGATGTTGGTACGTACAAAGTTCTACGGTGTAACTGACTGACTGAATGAATGACCGAATGTATCATTCATCTGAAACGTATTAAATTGTATTTCTGTAGTGACATATATATGACCTATATATATATATATATAATTCTCGGGGTTCTAGTGAGAACTCATGACTAGTGGAGTTCAATCCTGTCGAGAATAGGCAGTGACCTACTGATGAAGACAGTAGATGAGGTTGTGCAATACAGTCAAATGTTAACACCTCGAGATACCATCTCGGTAGTCTAGAGGTTACGCGTTCACTCGTGACAACAAAAGTTCCAAGTTCGATTCCTGTGAGATGCAGGAGTCGTAAATGAGCATTGTTGAAGAGTCCCACACTAAGACGAGACGGCCGTCCAGTGCTTACAGATTTCTAATGATAATGGTCTAACCATTTTATTTCATTACGAGGTTGTGAAGATTGTTCAGTTACACATATGAAATTAAATCCACTATATTTTAAGATAATCGCTTGAAAGTAAAGTTTTTTTAAGAAAATGAGATTACTAACAAATTATACAATCTGTAGGGATGCATAAAATTATTTGAGTGAACTTAACACTTCAATTTATTGATTATTATTTATTAATATAATATGATAACACTATTGAAATGACCTCAAAAGAAAAAACGCTGAAAATGTACTTTCAACCCCTAGGTTGTGTTCTTTTTAAACAAATATTATTTAAAAGATTTAACAGATGATTTTTCGGAAAAGAACAAAGTTTCATAAAAAAGAAATTACTGAAAAGAATTATTCGTTTTGTTTTTTTTTGTTTTAAAATGGTCAATGTATAATTTTATTTTCTGGATTTTAAAATTCGGTACTGCTGTTACGAATGCACGTAAACATGTCAATTTGATATGCTTGAATAATAATTATTACGAGTTTACCTTAGTCGAGAAACGAGAGCGAGGATCTAGGATCCGGCAGCACGACATGCTACTCTAATCCGAGTGTCCCAAACCCTCATTAGAGTTAAAGAAGAATACTTGATATGAAGTAGAACCTTTGTTCTACAAGCATCCAGGAACTACGAGGTCCGAGTCCAGAAGAGCATAAGGATCTCGGACCAGGGGTCCGGGTCCGGGTCACAAAACGTTACAGATGATGCGTATTTATACAGTTAGTTAGATCGAATAGGAAACAACATTGAAGTACGTGATATTGATAGCTAGGATGAGCAAACTATTGACCAGTAGGAAATTGACCAATAGAATTAGACTTACAAAAATAATTGGCTATAACACGCGTGGTCAGTCATGTGAGAGCATTTGTAGAGAGAGAGATCAGACTTGCTTAACTCTCGACCATGCCAATGCATACATAAGCTATAACCAGTTCAAAACCATTTTATTTGAAATCAAATTAAATTCCAAACAAAGCTCTTCTGATAAGGTGATGTAATTTGTAAACAAAAAAGGCATATAAATCAGTTGCTGTTATCAAACAATGAAACATTATTTTCACAAAATAATAGAAATAACAAACATTTCAAATGATATAGGAGCACATTTAGTTCTAATCTTTAAGTAAAATCATCCTGAAATCATAAATCGATCAATGGCAGACCACCACCGTTAGAAACCTGGAAGCATTGGATAGCCGTTTCATCTCTTAGTATGAGACTCATCAGCAGGTGCGCATCAACGACTTCTGCATCTCGCAGGACTGGAACCCAGAATCTTTGTTCTTGCGCGCGAACACCTAACCTCACGACCGCTGAGTTGGTATCCAACAGTGTTAATGTCTAACTTCGATCAGTTCACGGGAGTCAGACATTAACATCGTTAGATACCGACTCAGTTGTCCAGAGGTTAGGCATTCACTCACAAGCCTGAAGGTCCTGGGTTAGAATCCTGAAAGGTGCAGGAGTCGTGGATGCGCCCTGCTGAAGAATTCCACACTAAGACAAAACGGCCATCCAATGCTTCCAGGTTTCTAATGCCGGTGGTCTAACAGCATTGCTCACTCGTGTGTCCCACGATATACGAGCAATGCTTCGAAGACACCTATGATCGAAAACCAATAACCGACAAATATCTCCTACTCTCACTGGCCATGTTTCACAGCCATAAAGTAAGACGGAGCGAACCACTGCACAGTACACTCGTCCTTTAGTCAGCAAACGGATACATGTAACTATGTACCGCTTAGTTTATATATATGATATATTTTATTAAATTTGATGAGTCGTGGATGCGCAATGCTACCAATAAGTCCCATACACTAAGAGAAAATAGCCGTCCAATGCTTACAGGTGTTCTAATGGTGGTGGTCTAACACTGATTGATCGATTCATGATTTCACTGAATAACCCCGTAACGCAATAAAAATTACAATACTAACATAAAGATAATTACATTTATTTATTCTACTCACCCTTGTCCCATAGCTCCATTAGCTGGTTTTTGTATAAAACATGCATTACAACCTTGTCGATATAAATTTCTTATATAATTTGAAAAATATCCATATTCTTGTGGTAGAATCCATGTATTTGGCATAAAATTATATTCATCTGGTTCAACTTTTTGCATTCTGTTCAAAATGAGAAAAGATAAGTTTTGTAGACAAAAAATGGAACTAAGGTAAGATTTTGTTTAATTAAACAACGGAGTAGGTAACAGTCAGCTTATTCACCTAACAAATCGTGATAGTTTTAATTTATTTGTTCAGAACTGAGATCTAAATATCAGTAAAGATCTGCGTCTAGATCAGATTAGAAAACGAGTTCTAGGTAGGGATGGCAAATCGATAGATAAAGTAGTAAAACTTCATCAGCTGAGGTGGATGGGACATGTGTTACATACGCCTAACCACCGACTGCCTCGACGAGCTATGTTTTGTGGTGAAGGAGTAGGTTGGAAAACGTTAGGGGAAGCCAGACCAAAACATGACACAAATCCATGAAGTCACTGACAAGTGGACCGAGTCATGTTGGTAGATGTGGGCTACCTGGTTGGGATCCACGAGACGAAAGTCACCAATGGTTAGAGACCTTAAACGATATGGCTCAGAATCGTTTGCAATGGCGCAAGTGCATCCACTCTTTATGTTCTCTCTAATTCTAGCCTTCTGAATTCCTCATCATCTCTCTCTTTCTCCTGAGAAATTCATCTCACTGAATTATACTTCTCAAATCATATCTTCGCTCCCTAACCTTCTCGATTACTGCTAATACTTCTATTATTGCTATCACTCTTGGATTTGAACTGACAGTTGCGTCTATGTGCTGATGTGTTATGGGGCAACATGAACTGATGTACTTACGTACGAAGTTCTGCATTGTGTCTGTCTGTCTGTCTGCCTCTAGATCAGATTGTGCCCTAGCAACATTAACCACCTATTCCCGATTGCGTAGAGCATTTGATTAAAGGACTGATTCATATATTTTTATTAATACTTTCAGAAAATCATTACACAAAAGTTATAAAGTTAAATACTATTAGTTCAAATTGGACACACAAAGCCACAACTATGCATATCTAAGGTTTGACTACTCTAATTATCTAAGTTATTGACTTAAAATGCATGTGTTTAGCCAAGAATATAACCCATAATCACTTTTGTGGATCATATGTACCTATTCAAGTGACAGTGGGTTAGTTTTAAAAAGTTAAAATATTCTCACTTCATAAGAAACTAAATACACTCATTTATAATTATGAGAACCAAAAATAGTTGTTTTTTAGACATTAATAACTTGAACATAAGGCGTTTTTTTTAAAAGAAAAAGGATTGTATTCTAATGACATGGAAACCACTACAATCCCCAGTAAGTACAACAAACTATCAATAAAAGTTTGAACTAAGTATTTCATAAATAACCATACCATTCATCAGATATTACCATGCTCGATTGAATTATTTATAAGGAATGTTTACAAAAATTTTTTACTTCATGTCAATTGTAGAGATGGAAGTTATGTAATGTGAATCATCAGTCCCAAAATAAAACATGAGTCAATCATATGAATTTTGCATAAATACATCTTACTCGTCATTTTAAAGGGACCTATAATTCAAAATGTACTGTTGGAAAACGCTCTAATTCATACATAATTTTATAAACTAATAGTCGAAGTATGGTTATCGTATTTCAAAACCTGAGTAGTTTCTCAGGCATGAAATTTTCGCAACATTAATAAAGTGATTTAAGTACTGATACTTTACACCAGTAACTGATTTAACATGCTCCCTTTCTTAATACTATAGGACCATCACTAATCATACGCAAAGTTTCGGTTTCAAAAGCTAAATCATTAAGAAGAAACAACTCCACCACTAGTCTAAGGCAGCTCTGAATAGATATTCATAAAAAAAATCACGGAAATTACAACCTTGAGAAATTTTTGGTAAGGTAATCCTTGCGACATATTTCGATCATACCAGGAAAGTGGTTGACACGTTGGTATGGCTTTAATTTCATAATTTGTTCCAAAGGTAAAGAGATGTCGCTCCATATTAAATACCTTAACTGCATGTTACATTTAATGTGTTCATTACGCGTCTTTGAAATCGTCGGTTTCAACTACCGTAAATCCTGCCTCCTTAACACACTGGTTCACTGAAACAAGATAAGATTTACTGAATGTCGAAACCTATTTCATAGCGGGAATCCTTCAGGTTAGCTATGATTTTCTTCTTTTTTCTTTCTCTAATAATTTTAATATCCTTGCTGTTGGGTGATACTTTTACGTTCCTACCGGACTTCCAATCATTTTTATCAGAATCAAATAGAAGATCTTTTGGGTTCATGTTGTTGTTGCTGCGTGATTCACTTTTATCTAACATGAAGAAGAATCCAGTAGTCCTGAACACAAAGTCGCGTAATCATAAATAATTTTCGTTTACCGCGTTAATAACTACACTATTTGATATCCAAAATTAGTTCATCTAAATAACTCACCTCTTGTAGTTAGAATATTCTGCAGGTTAATTAGTATTTTATTTGCGAGGTGCTTTATTTGTATTGTCTAAATAATATGAGTAGACACCAACTGATGAGTTCGATATTGAATATTGGATACCTAATATATTTTTCACGAGTTAGTATAAACCAATTGATTCATTTGTGCTCAATTCTCGTTTTTTCGGAAAGCTTCCAGGTATTTGGTAGTGTCCAGTGGATAGTGGCCAAGCCACTCGACTGCACTGATTCTAGTCAGTTGGAAGTTATTTATGAATTTGTATATCCTGTCATTTGAATCAGTACGTTTGTTTCAGGGCAGTAGGGTTTCTGGATACCAGCAGCCATCACTTTACAAGGCATGAGATCGGTTGGTAGCAATGTGAAGAATAACAAAAGGAAAATGAGGAGAAAATTCTAGTGCTGATAAGATTTCAAAACTAACTAAATAAATGGAAGAATATGTCAATTAACTGTTAAAGAAGATTGCGCTAGTGAATAAAGTGTAAGCAACAGAGAGGAAGCGCAGATAATGGGCCTCATAGAGTGAGTGAGTGGTCTGAGGAAATGTCAATAATAGCGACTAGCAAGTCTCAAAACTGGCATCAGGCGGAGCTGTTACAAAAGTGAGATAATAAGACGTATGTTAGTACGTCTTCGGTAAATCTCTTTTTAAAGCTATCTACTGAGGGATGTGTGGTCACCACCCCTGCGGAGCACTCCAGGTTGCAACAACTCCTAATCAGAAGTTTGCACGAACCTGGGTTTTCGCTCTTTGAAGTTCTATTTTTCGACGACTCCTTCGAGGGGCGTGGAGGGGAAACGTATAACATAAGGGGGTGGACTTCCGTTGAAGGTGTACGTTGATTGCTTCAATCTTGGCAGAACTTTTATAGCCTAACATTTTGACAGGTTTCGTTTTAATCCATTTTCCACAGCCCACCCTTCAATTGATTTAAGGTCCGTTTGAATCTCACTTGAACCCGTCTGAAAGTCTTCCATCTCGTAGAGTCAGTCCGAAAATCTTAGTCGCTGTCGCTTGTGGAAACGGCAAACAAAATTGCACCCTGCTTGGTAGGATTTTGGGACAGAGTGTTGAAATCTGCAGCTAAGAGTGTCTGATCAAATCCCAGGAGTGACTGTTGCAATATATACTCAACCAACTTATCTTAATGGGCTTGATATTTGAAACAGGCCGGTAAATTTTTTTGATCAAAAGTATTGTGTCCTTTGTGTTGAAACAACACCAGCATGATTGTGTCGCATCGATTATTTTGTTACTATGTCTTGTTATGGTATTGATATGTCTAATATATACATAGCCAGTCCACCTCCCAGATTTTGAAACATATCGCATCAGGTCTTATATCTTGCAGGATGACTAAGTCGTCTGTAATATCTAGGGATAGCCTCGCTTTAGATTCATCAACTGACATTAGTGAGTACTATATTCAGCTTTACTTGTTTTTGTCTCACTGGCCTATTTTGGCTCTAACGACATCCAAAACTGAAGCGCCCCAGTTAAATCTCCACGGTTTTTGAACCAGTCAACAATGATTGCCATGGTGTTGTTGAGGACTAGGTTTTTTGATAGCCTCCACCATTGTTGCACATCATGTTCATGAGATTAATACAGGTTTCCTCTAACCAGCTCAGGCACCACGTGAATCATCACACTGGTTTGTACTTGGGTGTCTGTTGTTGTTCTCAAAGCTACTCATACTGACCATGATTTGTTGTGCCTCATTCAGATAAGCGAGGAAAATTTAAACGAAAGTTTCTGATATGATTGCAGGATTTCTTCGGCAACTTGTCCTGAGTCTAAACATACCATCATTGGAGGGAATTTACATTCTGCCAAACTTTGAACCTTAAACAGACGGCATAGTTTGGCCGGCGTACAGCACATCAAAAGCAGTGCTCACTATTCTTCCCGCTGTTCTTTATCAGCGATAGGTCTACTTTCTAGCACGGTCCCGAACCCGTATAAAGGAGTAGTGTTAGACATATGGTAAACGAACATATCCGGAAGAAAACTAACTTTCTTGAGGAAAGTTAATCGAGGAAAGTAATCAAAAACATCACTCAACTCCGTCTTGGGTTTGTAAGTCTTCATTTAGGATAGTTATCACGCCGCGTGATGAAAACCGAATTTCCCCAGAGGTCACGAAGCTGATGCTACTAACACATGAAGAGATCAGCATGGCCGTCAGACAAATCAGGAGCGGCAAAGCATATACAGAAGACAACATTCCAGCTGAGCTAATGAAACCAGACAAAGCAGAAACTTTAAAGATGTTGCACGCATTATTTAAGAAGATTTAGGAGACGGAACAAGTACCGGCCGACTGGAAAGAAGAATACCTCATCAAAATTTCAATTAGAGTTCTAAGCAAGTGTAAAAACTATGGCAGCATGACTCTACAAGCATTCCTAGGTACAGTGTTCGACATAATGTTCATAAATCGAATGAAAGATTCAGTATGCACCCAACTTCCAGCTCAAGAGGTTGGATTCTGTATGTATCGATCATTTCCCGACCAAATTTCGACACATGCATCGTTTTCGTACCATCATTTGAATGGAACTCACCACTACACACCATCGTTATTGACTAAGGAAAAGCACTTGACAGAGCAGACAGGATGACAATATGGAGGCTTCTTCGACACCATGGCGTAGCTGAGATGCTAGCCGACACAATACAGGATTACTACGACAGACTACGTTGCTAACTCGCGCATGGAGACAGTTCATAAACTCACTCTTAGTTAAGACCGGTTTCATGCAAGCTAGCTTATTTTCAACCTTTCTCTTTCTTCTTGTGGTTGGCTGGATTATAAAGACGTGTATATCTCAGGAGGACGGACGGAGTTCACTGAACAGCTGCCATGAAGCTAGATAATTTCGACCGTGCAGCTGACGCTGCTCCTTTATTCTACGCACAACAACAGATATAGATGAAGACACCCAGTGAAGCAGCAGCCACTGCAGCAGCAGGTCTCACAATACTCAAAAAAACGAGAATACTGAGACGAAATCACACTCGGTGAAAAAGTTTTGAAAGATGTTAAAACATATGTATGTGGAGAACAGGCAGTTCGTCTTTTTAGAGCGGGAAATTGAAGAAGTACAAAAGTCATAAATTAAAAGGATAAAAGTGTTTAATTACAGTCGTCCACACAAGATACTGAGTATCCGTCACCCAGCTAAGGAAGAAATTAGGGAAAAATGTTGGAGGTGGATAGGACACACCACAGAAATCATCCAATCGCGTCACAAGATAATTCGTAACTTGAAATCCTCAAGGCCAAATGAAAAGTCTAAGACCAGAGAACATTTCTAGCCAAGAATCGGAGACAGACACGAAGAGAATGATTGTTTGTCGGGTAGAACTAGAAAGGAAGGCCCTTGATATGGTTGGCTGGAAAATGCTGGTCGGCAGCCTATGGTCCATTGCGGGTATTAGGCTTAAGTAAGTAAGATTGTGGTAAAAATATTGTGGAAAGCACTAATTAGTGGATTTCCATAATCTGTCGATTTTACTGAATGATCAGCTAATAATAAAACGTTAATCCACCGCTTCAGAGGGGGACTCCACACAAATCTATGACCATATATTAGGAAGAGAGTAATACATGAATCTATCATCAAACTCACTGCCATTAACTGATATTTTTCTCTGTTTGCCTCCCAAATGCTTAAGACTCAATCCAGAATCTGGGCGCATACCACTTTATTACTTCCAGCGTTGTTCCTCTTGTGTCTAGGTGGCCTTCCTAGCCATCATCCACATCAGTTAAAGAAATGAAGATAATGAGAACAATAAAAATCAAAGGTGATATTTGTTAGACTCAAAATGGTCTGCAGAAATTACCTGAAGGGTCCAGAATTCAGCAGGTGCTGATAAACATATCAGAGGGCATCATGATGCATATTGGACTCCAGGGAACAGATACATATTTAGTGAGATTGGGCCTAACTGTCGGGAGATTACCGTATAAAATCGTATTAAATCCAGAAATCAAAAGGAAGACTATGACTAGATGACAAGGTGTATTGATTCGTGGTCTTGTGATATCAAAAAGATATCAAGACCGGAATAAAATAGCAGCTAACAACCATCAAGGATAAACGATCAATTACAGATACACGCTTGGCGCTCGAGCTGTGGTCTTTTGTACAGTTAAACAAGAAAGGGGTACAATAAAACAGTTATGGCTACACCTGTCTGCAATAATAAGTATTTCGATTTCAGTATTTGTGTTCTATTCGTAAAAACATGCCGCTACACATGCACACTCAGTAATCCTGAGCTACCCGTTTTACAGATACACAACGATCCTGGATTCAACCTTAGCCAACACTTGACAACTGCTGGACATCTTAATAAGGCAATCGCCAAAGGTTTTATAACCCAATTCTCTGAAAGCAGAACTTTTATTAACGTCGGCCTTGGAAAATTTTTTACCTGTTTACCGTGAGCTTTGGTCCCAAACCTTGGTATCGTATACAAGCTGCAGGCCCAAGCGTAAAACTGAGCTGTTGAGAAAGATTCAAAACACAAGAACCAAGTTAATTCTAGGAATATCAACGCTACCATATGACGGGAGACTGCTCAAAATGAACTTATTTCCCGTATCATAAAGAAGAACCAGCGGTGGTTCAATGGTGGCTTTCAAATTATTTAATAGTGAATATGCTTGCATCTGATGTGCTTTCATCTTATTTGCCTACAAAAATTCCAGAATAACTTACTTGTCCAGTGTCCACCACATCTTCGATCGAATCGTCAAAAAAAAACTATCA